TTTGCATGATATTTTCATACAGGACATCTGTTGTTCAAACTCAGGGAAGACTTTATACTGATGAATAAGGTGACCAAGTTTGATGAAGTTTGGAATAGAATTAGTAAAGTTATTATGCACACAATAACAATTATTAACGACGATGACAACAACAACGACAACGCCGGACAAAATTTTTCCCTTAATATACCTTTCCCTTCCATCTTTGATGGTACGGGCAAGGTAACAAAATTAATGTATTGCTTATAATGTGACAAATAAACCAGAAATAATAAAAGTCGACAGGGAGGAATCATTTGAATTAGGATTTTCCCGCCGACAAACGCGCCCAATACGCGTGAACTCAAAATGAATTAAAATGTCAGGAGTTAAACTGCGTAAAATGATTTCCAGTCTCGACAAATTACGAATCAACTGTCATACAAGATCAATAATAATTTACAAATTTACACTGTAAAAATTATAAAAATTCATAGCTGTTTGAAAAAAACTTCTCAGATCTTTATTTGTACATTCATTGCCATCTTTGTCAAACTCAAAATCCTCAAATTCCAAGTCGTCGTCACTGTAGCCGTCGAACAAAATCCCTACGACTTCTTCCTGAAGTTTGTCGATATTGTCCCACACAATTTGGACTTAGCGCTTTTAATCCACGGATTTCACAGTCTGTCAGCTTGGCACTTTTCATTCATGTCTAATCACAATAAAGAGACGAGAAAAATGGGATCGCTCTGCTGCGATGGCACACGATGCTTTTGTTTACAGTCTGGCAATCATCTTTGACCTTTATGCATCTGCTTTACTGATTGGATAAGAATGACATCACGACTAGTTTTTCATCATAAAGGTCAAATCGTGACATTGCATTTTTATCAGACTCGACGCTTATTAATCGCGGTGAAAGTTATCATTCAGCAAGTTTCGGCGGTTGGAATGTCTCACTATATGGATATCGTGGTGGACTTGAAATAGGAAGTTTTTTTTATTCAACGACAGAAGAATGGTTTTCATGACAGAAATGCAATAGCGGTGATGAAAGATGGTAAAAATGTTGGCAGTCTTCGGCGTGACATTGCAAAATTGCTGGCCCCAGTTATGGATTTGCAAGCCGCTACCAAATAGTTTATAAAGCCAAAATAACATGATTTCAACCACTCTAACAGGTACGGGTTGCTACAATATTGCAACATTGGTTTCATTGTCGACGACGCTAAAGCTGAATGAGTGCGACACTTGCTTAGCGGCTCTCCTTATACGATTTGCTTGAATCGTTTCTAAGGAAGCACAAACCAATCGGCCGGCTCTTTTTAGGGCCACGACATATTTCAAAAAGAGAACTAACAATGCTGCTTTAATATATATTTTATAGACTTGCTGACTGTTATGATTCTGAAAAAAATCAGTGGTGAATGCGCTGCCCTGAAGGCAGAAAGCTGGTACAGCTATTTCGCGTTCACCCCTTGTTTTACGCAATTATCAATTACATTTAAAGAATTTTTGTAAGCATCACGACAAACTTCAAGAAAGTCAACTGTTAATACAACCACAGTCAATGAATAAAAAATATTTTTTTGTTATTTTTTGTGTAGAAAAAAGACCCCTTGGCGTGTGCCTGGATATGACCTCAACTTCTTTATTGTGTCAAAAGTGGGGGGTGGGCGTTTGCCCAGGCATGGGCTCTTACCCGGATAAGTACGGTATAGGCAGAAACAAGTAGTAGAATTTCCAACAGTTAAAAGATGGCTATGATGATGGACGCTAATAGTAGTTAACAGCCTGTTTAGAGTTGAGGTTTTAGTAAACATCAAGTATTTGCCCTAAACTCTTTTTGCAATGGGATAATTTGAGCGGATGAAATTTTGCAAAATTTTTCACTGCTACAGAATATCATGTGTCCTGAAATTCATCAAAATTTGTCCTCTGTTAAATTGCAACCGTTTATTGTATTTTTGAATTTCTTTAGTGCAATGAAAACAAAATTAACCCTTTAAGCACTGTATATTCCACACCAAAATTTTTATGAAATTGTCTATAATATATTTTCATTACTTTGAACCAAATTAGCATAACTGCTTATAAGCTACAGGTCACAATGACAATTTTTGAAAAAAATACAACAAATTTATCTGGTTGATCCATGTTTTACGTTTGTGTGAATTATAGGTGTTTCAACTGGAGTATCAATCGCACATGAATCGAACTGTACACTGTCTTCACACTCGTGTCTGTCTTACAGGTTGCTGCCGTGTCTGGAGACGCTAGACGTGCACTTGATATATGTAGAAGAGCTACCGAGATCGCTGAGTTGCAATCTAAGGATTTGAATCAATTGGTTGATATCAGTCACGTAGAGAAAGCAATTCAAGAAATGTTCTCATCACCAAAGATAGTAGCTATAAGGTAAAATATCTCAATGCCATTGGCTCAAATGCATCATGTGATCAATTTGTATCATGTCACAGTAGAGATGTAAAAATCATTTTACTAATATGGCAGAAGCCTATGGCCTTGTCGTTTGTAGAATATCAAAGTTATTTTCAAGAGTGATGAGGTGTATCCGGTGGCCATATTTTTTCGAGTGAAGCGCCACACCACATCACAAGTGAAAATAACCTTATACACACAAACGTCAGGCCAATACCATTGGAGTTAAGTTATTATTTCATGCGTTCCCAGGAATGTTGTAATCATGGCACATACAATGTTTGTGACCTACTTTAAATTTTGTGCAGTGATTGGTCAACCTGACGTTCCATCATGTTCATATTTAATAATTGCACAAGTGCGCTCACTAACAGTGTTGGCGATTAAAAAAAACAAAAACGATACGCTATAGTCCGCCATCATGTGTGCGAGACAGTGACTTTATTTAAACATGTTTTAACATTGACATTCAAAAATAAACATGTATTTCAAATACATTGAGCCCCACATCCGGAGTTTCGGCTTGTAATATTTGCATAACAGTCATTAAATAACACACTAATTTGCATATCGCCAGTGAAAATACCGGTCGGCCTGTACGTTACAGCTATCACAAACATAATCATTCACTGTTCTATAAAATTCATTATGAAGTATTTTCAATGCACATATGAAAGGTATCTCGTGGAATAGTACGTAAACGGCAAATACACAGAAGATACTGTTTTTTTGCACATTTGCATATCGACAGTGGAAATACATATATTTTCAAGAATGCAACAAAATAAACAATACAAATATGATGAGAAATCTATTAACTATTGGTATTTTTAATTGTAGTGATCAACATCTACACTGAATGGAATTGTGCAGATACCAAGTTTCCTGTGTTATGTGGCTATAATATTAACTTTTGATTATGTTATTAAAAAGTAAAATTTTTGTCTTATCAACAGAGAATGTTCACTTCAAGAACAGTTGTTTCTGCGGGCTGTAGTATCAGAATTCCGAGAGTCAGGCCTGGAAGAAGCTCCATTCTCAAAAGTATGTACAAGATTTGATCCTACCATGCTTCTTAATTGTATTTTGAAAATTAACTTGCATGTCTATGGGTAACACTTCCTTCTAGTGACGAGATGTATCTGTGATGTTCATACATGCAAGTTATGCCATTCATCGATATTTTAATCTGTTGACAGCATTGATAACACCAAACTATGTTATTTTGGGGGTTGATCTTTACTCTGGGTTAACTTGGCCTGATTGGCACTGGGATAGTGTGTTGAATTCCCATAATGCCATTTTGATAGGCTGATGGTCACATAGCCCTGTCGCATAATCCCAAATATGGAATATGTCATGTACATGAAGTTGTACAATGGTTGTACAATGCACAATATGTCAGCAATCACATTTGCAAATTGTCTTGCATGAAACGTATTATAAAATGTTTATAATTTGATTCACTGCTTCACAATAGAATATTTTTTTCCTGGTGGCAATCATGTCCCACAAGGCATCTTGTTTTGTTTTCTGCTTGGGTGAATTTTGTTTTTACCAAACCTCAACCAATTGCTTTTTAACTTAATTAGAAGAATTAAGTTCATTCTCAAGGGTGTATTGTTGATGATTTCACTCAGATAAGGATATGTTATCATTCATTATTATTGTGTCATTTATTTACTCAACAGATTTTGAAGCAGCATTCTTCCATCTGCAGACTTGAAGGTAAGTTTATGGATCTACTATCATCTGCTGTTCATTTCTCCATTGCAACCACCACTTCACTACTGTAGTTGTGAAATCCCCCCCCTCCCCACAAGTACCAGGATGGACGCCCTTTTGAGGGAGCATTGATCATGATTGTGATGATGTGACCTATAGTTGTTAAAAAGTAACTGAATGTGAAATTGATAATGTGTTCTGAACCTTAATATACAGGTGTACAGCCTCCAACAACATCAGAAGTATCTGCAGTTTGTTGTCGTCTTGGAAGTTCACGGCTGGTTTTAGTGGAAGGTGGACGTAATGATATGCACCAGAGGGTTAGATTAAACGTCAGTCAAGATGATGTCTTTTATGCATTGAAACCGAAAGGAAAAATGTAAAAATAACAGCATTGAATGCCTGCCAAAAGACAACTGCCAATATTTTATTGAAGGGAGCTCTCTATAGTTCTGGGCAACACACTTCATTTTTCTCGTGTAGATAAGGTGAATTGTAAACTTTGAGCGTTTGTTTTTTTAATTCTGAAACTGATTTTAAAGTTTCCTTACTATTTATGGCAAATCAATTTACTCTTTTAATGTATTTTTGTATTGGAATAAATATTTGTTTTTCATATACATCTCGCTTGATTTTGTAATAGCTGTGATTTTGAACATTTTTTTAGCTCCGTTGTCAATTTTGACATGTGTACCTAACTGGGGATAGAGTAGTTTGTTTGAATCTGTTGCATGAAAGGAACCATAGAACATTGTGATGCATTATGGGAAATTACACAAATGTAATATTTTGTATACCGGTACTTCCATAAATAGAACAAAACACGTACCATATTTCTAGTGAACATCACTTATACTTTGAAATTAGCTTTTGGGTAACCTTAGCAAATTTTGTGTACAGGCAGACTGAAGTTTGCTCTGTTAGAAGCGCATATTTACCAACAAATTTGTTGTATATCATTACAATTACCTAATTTTACCATAATAGAGCAAACGTGGTAGGTTGGCATTCTCCAAGCAATGACAGATTGTGTTGAGCATTGGAAATATGGCCTGACCAGTTGGTTGCTAGGTAAATCTGCAAGAATATTCTTGTATACACATATGGTGAAAAATTGAATCTCTTCAATGCTGCTCAAAACAGATTTGAAGGACCAACAAGTCATTGCTCTTAACCAGAATTGTTTATTCTGTTTGATTTATTAAGATCAGTTTGACAGAATAACATTCACACCATTCTACAGGAAGCCCCAATATGGCTCCTTCACGCCATTGTACTAAAGAGCTAATTTTTGCTTGGCATTGTTCCCGTTGCTCGTTACTAATCAAAACCAACCTACTGTACATTGCAGGACTTAGTATCCACTAAATGTTGTTTCCAAATCTATTTAGTTTTATACAGACCACATGGCGTTGATCATTACACAGATCTTCTGTTCGGGGTCCACAAATTTCAATAGAGTTGAACACGTTTACAACATTCAGGCTTTATGCAATAAATTTTGTATAGCATATTCCATTTGAAAATAAGAACCCGCTGACATCACAAAGTGCCTTCAAAAGGGTAATTTCTTTGAACAAGCAGCCTCTCAGCAATGCACATTTCAATTAGAGAAGTGAAAATATCACAGCCATCAAACTTGCAGTTTTCAAAAAGAATTAAAAAATATAATTTCACCAAAATGACACAAATATCTGAGAGAGGTCCACCTGTAATGCCTATATGTATAATATAAATTTAAAGCAATCGGACTTGAGGTTTTTAACAAGAAGTCGAAAATATCACTTTTTACCAAAAATGATAGATATGAAATAAACAAATCTGAGAGAAGTCAACCTGTAGTAACTATATGTATAATATCAAAGCAATCAGACTATCACTTTTTACCAAAAATTAGAGATATGAAATGAACAAATCTAAGTGAGGTCCACGCGAGGTACATATACACCAAGTATCAAAGCAATCAGATTTGTAGTTTTCAAGAAGAAGTTTACAATAAATCCATCGATAGTTTGGGGTGGTGGGTTTTACGTCAAATAATTCCCTCTGATTCCACTAGTCCTCCTCTGTGTGCCGCTTTGAATTTTATCCTGGACCAGACAAGTCCTAGTAAATAAGCTACATCCTTGAGATTCATGGACGACGGCAGGAATGATTGATGCATACTATTAAACAATCTTTCAGGTTTAAACAAGTAAATATTTTATTCACATTTTCAATACGTGGTACAACATAAATCATGCAATAAAAAAATTTATATTTCAACCAGTTAACTCTAGAGAGCTATTGTAGTGTAAACTCGCAAAGATCTCTTGCATTAAGTAACTTTAACTGATTTCTTAGTAGGGCATGCACTTTTGTAAATGTCACAAGAGTGTTTATGGTCAGAATACCGGTAAGTCTCATTGGAAAGATTCAGTATACAAAATCAACAATTTTTGATTTCAGTGACCTCTGAATAAATCACAGATTTATTGCAATTTACTGTACGTGTGTTATGTGTGATATTCCTTGTTTCCAAAATGAGGAGGCTTGGGGACTCTTGCAACCAATCGCAGATATAGTCCCAGTACATGGTTACATTCATTGGGTTTTTACACTTTGTGATAGGTAATAAATCCACTTTGATCTAGTGAATAGAAACGACCGACCGACATTTAATCGGAAAACAATACAACATGCAACAACAAAAATGTACAAATAATAGAAATACAATTTTTACACAATTCAGGAAGATTTTAAACAAAGAAGACGTCTTATTTTGTTGTCTTGCATCGCAGGGGAATCAAATGTATTGCACATAAATTATAGCCTGTTACCCCTTTACTTAAATGAACTGTCCTGGTTATTCCATTCCATTATCAGTAGGGGTGGGCAGGTCTTAACTGAACAAGAGTGACTATTCATTTGCTCCTCTTGAGAAAGTCAAATCAGCAGAGAGTGTTTCCTTTTCAGTTTAATGGTATGGTCTTGGTTTAACAGTGAAATTCCATGATAGCAACCACATTAGGGGTGGTAGCTAGTCACTATGCAGTACTCTGGTCAGTACTACTTTTTCTCTTGAGTGCTTCCGGTATTTGTAATTTACCTAGTTCTGCTTTCAAACAATCAACTTGTTTCTTCATTTTGGTGTCTTTGGGCGATTCTTTCACCCAACCATCTACCTCTTGGATTATTTTTTCTCGTTTCAGATAGAAATGAGTGTTGATGACTTCTTCAAAACCGGGGCAGGGTTTCTGTAGTTGTCCTATCATAGCGTACTTAATATTGTTAATCTTCACCTCTGTTGAGTAACAATACAATTATTAAAATCAGAAAGTTGTAATATTTATATTAAGATCATCGAAAATCAGAGATTTTGTTGCATTGAACATTAAATCAGGGTCCTAACGACACTGTCAACAACTTTTGCAAAATTAGTTTTTCACAAATATTATAAAAATTCAGCTGTTCACAGTATTTGCTTGATGGACAAAAGCATGTGCATATATCAGTGACCCATTACGTATGAAGGAATGACAAGCATGTAAACCAAATTGGCCAGAGTGCTTCAGAGAAATGGATCAGGATAATTAAAAAAACAATTGTCACCAGTCAGCAATTTGATTTAAAATAGAACATGTGTTTTTTGTGACAAAAAAGGCAGTTTGTCTAGTGAACTTTACTTTATCTACAAGATGCAAATAAAAGTCACGGACAACAGGCCATTCAGGATGGAATTTAATGGCATGATTAAAAAGCTGAAGATATCTTGTCACATCCTATTGGAATCATATATCTATAAACTTTATTGAAACACATAAAATGGTTACATAATGGTGATGTAACATAGTTAAATTACACATGGCTTGCAGATCATAGTATAAGATGAAAAGATGGACTACAAAAGGTAGATAAGATGACAGCATTTGGTCGAAAAAGGTCACCTAAGTTTCTAGCATGGGATTTGAATGAATAAATTTAAATTTTTTTGTTTATTTTACTGATTTCTTGGTTTAGGATTATATTCATTAAATTAAATTCTTTAAATGTGTTTGGCTTATATTAACTAGTTGTCTAGTAATAGTGTTGTATAACTTTCATGATAGTTGATCTTTCACTAGTGAGCTTATAATATAATATAATAAATGTTGTATACAATGCATGTGAAAAAAATGTTTATTTACACGAAAATGTAATGGCAACTGCAGATCTATTGGTGATGACATTAAAATGGTTCTCAATCTCAATTTTCTCACAATGCACCTCAACTTCAACAAGAATTACCTTGGTTGTATTCTTTACTGTGCTTTTTACCGGATTCAGTTCCAATTTCCTGTTCGTATCCCGGCTCATTGAAGTAAGGTTCTGGTACCAATATCAGAGACTGAATAGAGATCAACGCTTGTAACACCGTTGACGTTTCGTTCCACTGTTCTCCACCCTGACCTTCCCACGTACCAAGTAATGACAAACAGACTTTACCCGAACTAGAAACAAAAAAGACAAAATTCTTACATTCTGCAAAACTGAACTGGTTGCAAATATACCAGCTTATTTAAATATGTATTAATAATTATTCAAAGTTAAATTCTTGAAGCGTCTGAGATTGAAAAGCCTCATGCAGATTTAAAAACAAAGTAATTCGTCTGGTTTTCATCCTAGTTAAAGGATTTATCACATTTCATCCATATTTTATTCAATTTAACTGTGTATAAAGATGTATTTCAGAAAACAGACAAATCAGAGAACAGTAGATTGTGCATATGCACAGTTTAACAAAATGTCTCATTAGGGCTGCAAATTTTTAAATATATTTAAAAAAAAAAATTTTCAGTATATTTTAATTCATGTAATAACCAACCAAATTCTGTGTTATAAACTCAGTGTTAAAATAGCGTAATAGACAAAATTATGAAAACACTGATTTACCAGTTGTTGTGATGGTTTTTCACAAAGATAGAAAAAGATGAATAATAACTAATCATACTGTCATATTGAAAGAAGACTTACTTGTAGAGATTGGGATTGAATCTGACCGATCCATTACCGGTTGTTTGTAAATTGAACTGTGGAGCAATCTTAGGATAGTTATTAGGGAAGAAGATATCAAAGAGGAAACAGCCACCAGAATACGGAGTACCTTCAGGTCTGAAAAGATAATAATAACATTTTAACATCTCATGCTATATACATTTACTAATAGCTTCCTTGATGCAATACACTGGGCTTCAGAAATACATGTACTGTATTTTCTCTATTAGTAGCTCAAGTTAATACAGGTTTTAATGAGTAATATTTTAATGATTCAGTATACAAGAATTCCAATTTTTGGTTTTATTTTCACCTCTATTAGAGATGTGTTTCTAATAGAGCAAATACTGTATTTAGGGATTGTTTGTGGACTGGCCAGAAATGCTGATAATTCCAATTTTTGGTTTTATTTCACCTCTAATAGAGATGCATTTCTAATAGAGCAAACACTGTATTTAGGGATGTTTGTGGACTGGCCAGAAATACTGATAATTACTAATTTTAATATTAATGGGTAGCATAATGTTTGGAAAGCACCTACCAAAGAATAGTATTATCATGGATTTGCGCATACTAGGGTAGTCTATGTCAATTTATTTTGAGTGAAAGTAGAATACTAACCATATCAATCACAATGATTGAGTTGGGTATAATGCATCAGATTGTGGCTATACAGCCAAATACTCACTTTGGAAGGACTCAATTTTCATCAGGAAAAAAGACACACATTATTTCCCTCACAGCTAATTAATATGCGTTCACTATGTTATTATTGCCCTCACAGCAAATTAATATGCGTTCACTATGACATTATTTCCCTCACAGCTAATTATTGCCCTCACAGCTAATTAATATGCGTTCACTATGACATTATTGCCCTCACAGCTAATTAATATGCATTCACTATGACATTATTGCCCTCACAGCTAATTAATATGCATTCACTATGACATTATTTCCCTCACAGCTAATTAATATGCGTTCACTATGACATTATTGCCCTCACAGCTAATTAATATGCATTCACTATGACATTATTGCCCTCACAGCTAATTAATATGCGTTCACTATGACATTATTTCCCTCACAGCTAATTAATATGCGTTCACTATGACATTATTGCCCTCACAGCTAATTAATATGCGTTCACTATGACATTATTGCCCTCACAGCTAATTAATATGCGTTCACTATGACATTATTTCCCTCACAGCTAATTAATATGCGTTCACTATGACATTATTTCCCTCACAGCTAATTAATATGCGTTCACTATGACATTATTGCCCTCACAGCTAATTAATATGCGTTCACTATGACATTATTGCCCTCACAGCTAATTAATATGCGTTCACTATGACATTATTGCCCTCACAGCTAATTAATATGCATTCACTATGACATTATTTCCTTCACAGCTAATTAATACACGTTCACTATGACATTATTTCCTATACAAAAGGTATACTAGTAGTTAACTTACCCAGCTATCAAAGCTTGCATAAGGTTCATCTTTTCATCATCCTGGATAAAAAAATAAGAAAAATTATTCCCTCTGATTCCCTGTATTATGTTTCCATGATGTCTATCTGTTTTATTCAATTATATTTCTTTTATTATTAGTAATTTTTGCCTTTTGTTGTGCAATCTTAATCAGTTTGCAACTGAAAAAAGCACAATATACTAGGTAAATGAAATAATTCTTAAAATTTTCAAACTTTTTTTTACCAGAATACAACATTCCAAAATAGTTTTCCCGAACATCACTACCCAGGATGCATTGCATTGACCATCTGGACATGATATAACTGACTTGTGGTCTACATCACCTGATGCTCAGAAATGACAATCACATTCCTCCCACAATGCACCATAATGTCATTTCCCACTTGCAATACATCAGTCTCCTATTTATACTTTCCCAGAATGCACAACCCGACCCATAATGCATCATTGTAAAAAATAGAAAACAAAAACTTACTGTTCTTAAAAATATTGCTGAAGACAAGTCTAATGGAAGAGAGGTTGCTAAAGAGGTGAATTCTTGTGCCAGTCTGAAAACCTGTAAAATCACAATTATGCATGAATGTTAGTATATTAAGGTAAGAAATCAGACAGACGGACGGACAGACAGAGACTAACAGACAGACAGACAGAGAGGGACAGACAGACAGACAGACAGAGAGGGT